CTGAATTATTAAAGTCTATGTAGAGTCAAGTTTCAACCAATTCAACTGTGTTCTTTTTAACACTTAAAAATGTATTATTTGGCATTGTTGCTTAGTGGGGCTTTGTTTTTGTTAACACTGCTATCTCTCTTAGACCAAAAAAAAAGAAAAGAAAGAAAGAAAAAATCCATATCTAAAAGATAGGGCTCTACCTAATTTAATTTTTTTAAAGATTTTATTTAATTATTAGAGAGCAAGCACACGAGTGTGGGGGGAGGGGCAGCGGGAGAGGGGAGAAGCAGACTCCTGTGTTGAGCGGGGAGCCGGACAACACGGGGCTTCATCCCAGGACCCTGGGATCATGACCTGAGCTGAAGGCAGATCCTTAACCGACTGAGCCACCCACGCACCCCATAATTTAATTTTCTGTTACTTTATGAACTTCCTCTTCCAAGGTCAATTCATAAAATTGGCCATGAATCAAATTTCTACAGTGTTTCAAATTTTGGTTTGATTTTGCTTTTTGTTGCACTGATCCTAGCCAAGATCCCTCTTTGATAATGCAAAGTAATTTGATTTTTCTTTAAAAATTGGTGCTTATTTCAGGTGTATGGGTGGCTCAGTCAGTTAAGCTTCATACTCTTGATTTTGGCTCAGGTCATTACCTTAGGGTTGAGAGATCCAGCTGACATGGGACTCCGTGCTCAGTGGGGAGTCTGCTCTGAGATTCTCTCTCCCTCTGCTCCTCCCCTCACCGAACCCCCAATTGTGCATGCACTCTCTCTCTCAAAATAAATAAATCTTTTTAAAAAATTGGTGCTTGGTTCTTGTTTGTTTTTAGAATTACTGAAAGAGCAATGGTTCATGGAAGTATTGCTCAGGGTATTTTTTCCACCAAGAGACACAAACGTTTCTGTTAGACTTTTATCCTCATAATCTCTATTTTAAATATGGTTTATTGTAAGTTTATTGTTGGCCTTTATAGGTTGGCTGCTATTGTGCTAGAGGTCAGGGATCATCTTTTTTGGTGTCAAGTATATTGTGGCTGTCTCAAAGATAGCACCACATCTCTTATTTGGGTGTTTCAGATGTCTCTTACCTTCCCTTAGTAACAAGCCTATTCAAAAAACTTGCTACTTTTAACTGCCACTCTTATTCCCAATTGAAAATATAATTTAAACATTATTATATTTTAAAGATGGATAAAGAATTATGCAAAAATGATAAACCTTAATATTTTGGGTATTTTGGGTTATCACAGAACAAGATGTGGTAGAGAAAGAAATAATCGGTGTGGTCCTTTTTTAGAAAAAGGAAATACCTTCCCCATCAAAATACCATCCACTTTTTTCAAAGAAATGGAACAAATAATCCTAAAATTTGTATGGAACCAGAAAAGATCCCGAATAGCCAGAGGAATGTTGAAAAAGAAAAGCAAAGCTGGCGGCATCACAATTCCGGACTTCCAGCTCTATTACAAAGCTGTCATCATCAAGACAGTATGGTACTGGCACAAAAACAGACACATAGATCAATGGAACAGAATAGAGAGCCCAGAAATGGACCCTCAACTCTGTGGTCAACTAATCTGCAACAAAGCAGGAAAGAATGTCCAATGGAACAAAGACAGTCTCTTCAACAAATGGTGTTGGGAAAATTGGGCTGCCACATGCTGAAGAATGAAACTGGACCATTTCCTTACACCACACACAAAAATAGACTCCAAATGGTTGAAAGACCTCAGTGTGAGACAGGAGTCCATCAAAATCCTGAAGGAGAACACAGGCAGCAACCTCTTCGACCTCAGCCGCAGCAACTTCTTCCTAGAAACATCGCCAAAGGCAAGGGAAGCAAGGGCAAAAATGAACTATTGGGACTTCATCAAGATAAAAAGCTTTTGCAAAGCAAAGGAAACAGTCAACAAAACCAAAAAACAACCGACAGAATGGGAGAAGATATTTGCAAATGACATATCAGATAAAGGGCTGGTATCCAAAATTTATAAAGAACTTATCAAACTCAACACCCAAAGAACAAAGAATCCAATCAAGAAATGGGCAGAAGACATGAACAGACATTTTTCCAAAGAAGACATCCAGATGGCCAACTGACACATGAAAAAGAGCTCAATATCACTCGGCATCAGGGAAATCCAAATCAAAACCTCAATGAGATACCACCTCACACCAGTCAGAATGGCTAAAATTAACAACTCAGGAAATGACAGATGTTGGCGGGGATGCGGAGAAAGGGGAACCCTCCTACACTGTTGGTGGGAATGCAAGCTGGTGCAGCCACTCTGGAAAACAGTATGGAGGTTCCTCAAAAAGTTGAAAATAGAGCTACCATATGATCCAGCAATTGTACTACTGGATATTTACCCCAAAGATACAAAGTAGGGATCCAAAAGGGTATGTGCACCCCGATGTTTATAGCAGCAATGTCCACAATAGCCAAACTGTGGAAAGAGGCAAGATGTCCATCGACAGATGAATGGATAAAGAAGATGTGGTATATATATACAATGGAATATTATGCAGCCATCAAAAGGAATGAGATCTTGCCATTTGCAATGACGTGGATGGAACTGGAGGGTATTATGCTGAGCGAAATAAGTCAAACAGAGAAAGACATGTGTCATATGACCTCACTGATATGAGGAATTCTTAATCTCAGGAAACAAACTGAGGGTTGCTGGAGTGGGGGGTGGGGTGGGAGGGATGGGGTGACTGGGTGATAGACACTGGGGAGGGTATGTGCTCTGGTAAGCGCTGTGAATTGTGCAAGACTGTTGAATCTCAGATCTGTACCTCTGAAACAAATAATGCAATATATGTTAAGAAAAAAAAAAAGAAGAAGAACATAGCAGGAGGGGAAGAATGAAGGGGGGGAAATCAGAGGGGTAGACGAACCATGAGAGATGATGGACTCTGAAAAACAAACAGGGTTCTAGAGGGGAGGGGGGTGGGAGGATGGGTTAGCCTGGTGATGGGTATTGAGGAGGGCACGTTCTGCATGGAGCACTCGGTGTTATGCACAAACAATGAATCATGGAACACTACATCTAAAACTAATGACGTAATGTATGGGGATTAACATAACAATAAAAAAATAAAAGCAAAAAAACCAAAGGAAATACTTGATAAGTAGGAAGTTGATGTGATTTGTGTGATACTTTTAGAGGCCAATGAGATATTTTATTTTAAATTCGGAAGAAAAAATGAATATTATCCACTCTGGACTATACTTGTCTTTATACCAACCTGGTAGTAAAGTAGAATTTTTAATATTTTTTTACAGAGGAAGAGGCCCATAAAGGCAAAAGTGCCACAAGGGCCCATGAAAGTCACAATGTGATCCCACAGCAGCATAAGTCTATTTTTTCCTATTTTTTATAGACACTGCTATTTTAAAATTTTCTCCTATAATTCAGCAGTCCATATGCTTTCTCTTTGTCTTTTGTCCCCTATAATCCGGAGCCATCTGTGTATACTGAAGGAGTTACACATTTGAGTGTGTACGTTTGAGATCAGTTCATCACATTGGGGAACGCGAATATTGACATCATTACCACCAGGGCCTTGCACTTATTAACATTAATAAATGATAGTATAATACTAGGCTTACTTTATTTGAGGATCTCTAGATCAATAGTATTTTAAAGTGGAGGCAAACATTTCTAGACTATAGTCGGATATACTAAAAATAAATTACATTCTTAATTTTTTGGTAACTTCTGATTTTGCTCTGAAGCCCCTATTCCCATAGTGGGGAAAAGAGTCCAGTTACAAAGAGACTAGCTAGCCAGTTATACAGATAATTCCATCTATTTGGACTCAGTATCTTTTGGATAAATGTTCAGTCTCTCAGGCTTCTCTTTCCTTCTTTTTCCTAAAGCATTTGGATTAATGACTTTCAACTTCAGTTTGGGAGGGTATTCCTGCTCCTGTTTTTGGAACACTATATTTACTAGAGATGAGGAGGCTAAGGGAAATATGTGGCTGGGTTGAGGAGGTTGACGCCAGTATGTGATAATACTCTTCCTACTTAGATTCCTCCGTCAACTATGATGGAGCAGAAATTGTCTCATATATGTAAAGAGCATTTAAAGTTTAGAAGCAAGCCGTCTTTTTTCTCTCTATAAAGTGTGACTTTCAAGATTAAAAAAAATTGGCTTTGGGCCTTGAAGCTGACCAAAGATGTTTTAATTCTAGGCTGTATTCTCCTATCCTCCTATAGCAATAAGACAGATGTTTTGGCCTTAATAACCAAAGGGGCTTGGTGAAAGAAATCTGCTTAAGGATAAGAGAAGATGCCTGAATAGGCAGCTGCATGTATTAGCATAACGGTTAAGAGGATACACTTTGAAGTCAGATAAAACTGGGTTCAAACCCCAGTTGCTCCATTTATTAGCTTTTTCATTTTGAGAATGTTATTTGACATATCTGAGCCATGGTTTCCTCATCTGTAAAATAGGTGACAAAGTTTTTTCAAATGAGGATTAATTAGTTAATATATGTGAAACATTTTGTACTTTATACATAGCAAAGATGTAAGTGGTAATTGTTAAACGTACTTAAGAATTTGTTTGCAAAGGAAAAAAAATGGACATGACGCTGGGTGGAAGCTAGAACTATTTAGGTTGTTAGGTATGGATATTTCAAGTTCCAAGGAAAGAAACATGTTCCAATAGTCCCTCTAATAGAATTCCTTATAAGGATATGTGAGGAACTAAAGGACAAAGGAGATAAGGAGACCAGGAATCACAATAATTCTAGTGAGGTCTGGCTGTGTGGTAATCTGACTATGAATCTACTGTCTGCAATCTGAAAGATCCTATCTAACAGAGAAATGCATACTTAAAAATTAGTTCACTCTTGTTCATCTACATTGCTAACAAAGTCAAGTACAGTAAGATTGAGCTGATTAATGTTGTTTTAAAGGAGATTTAAATGAGCTGATTAATGTAAATAAATGAGAGGTGACAAGATGATCTTGATTTTCCCCACTTTTCCAATCAGGTGGTGAATGGAAAATTCATTATGAGACACAACTTGAACTGAATGATCAACTAGAAAAGCAAGTTGTTTCTCTAGAAGAGAAAATGGAAAAAATCCGTGGAAATCCTTCAGGTACAAAAGCAACTATATATATGTTTTATAAGTTGAGTTAAAAATGATAAAATATTAGGGTGCCTGGGTGGCTCAGTCGGTTGCGCGACTGCCTTCGGCTCAGGTCATGATCCTGGAGTCCCGGGATCGAGTCCCGCATCGGGCTCCCTGCTCGGCGGGGAGTCTGCTTCTCCTTCTGCCCTCTTCCCTCTCATGCTCTCTGTCTCTCATTCTCTCTCTCGCAAATAAATAAAAAAAAAAAAAAATTAAAAAAAAAAAAATGATAAAATATTAATTGTTAATATTTTCATATTTGTTTTGTTGTAGATAGATTGTTTTCTATCTGTGTCTATGAACAAATGCCAGTGGTGAGTAAAAGCTGGTTAAACAAAAAGAATAATTGAAGGAAAGAAATTATGTACTTTTTTTTTAGACAGGTTCCAAAAAAAGTTTGAAGACTGTGGCAAGTTCCAAAATATTTCGTTCAGTGGAACTGTTTCTAGGAAGTAAGGAATCCTATAGCAGATCCTTCAACTTAATCTCCACCTTGTAAAGCTGGGCAGGATTGCAGGTACAAACAAAATGGAAGAAAAGAATCTCAATAGTCAGTCCAGGTAGAACCTGAGTGTATCTACTTCCTGTGACCTAAAAGAGCCTATTAAACACAAATATATTTCATACCTATCTAAAAACATTTCCATTCTAGTTCCTCTGGAATATACATATACACATGTAGATACATACATACATTCACATTCACACACACAATGTATAAAATCCAACAGAGAACCCATAAAATTACTCTATAACATGAAAGAAACCTTATTACACTGAATGACCTACTTTTTCTTTGGGTTGCCCTAGTGACAGCCTTTCCTCCTGATAAATTACTTGAATTTATATGTTTTATACTTTACAAAGCACATTTGTTTCTCATTCGTTTAAATGTTTATTTTTTAAAATGTAGAGAAGACCTAAAGCATGACTTATGCGGGTCTCGAGCATTCTTGGAAATAGCCTTTTCTTTAGAATTCATGCTGAATTTTTATTTCAAGAATATTCAGAAAAACATGGAAATCATAAAAAATCAAGGGTACTTTATATGAAAATGAAAATACAATACGCTGCTAAATTGGCAGGACCACACAACCCAATGAGAAAAATTTAATATTATTTCCTTTAATACATGTGACACTAAGCTTAAAACAATTAAGTGATTTGCTCAGAATCACACAGTCTGGAAATGTGGAGGTTGATTCTCTTTCTCTAAAAAAATATATGCCCGTTTGACTAGATCGTACTATGCCAACAGCCATTCTATACTGCTTATCAGAAATAACATGTTTTTTAATAGCTTTATGTAGAGCACTTAACTGACTGCTATATTCACAGAGGCCCTGAGGACCAGAGCATTATAGAGATTGCTCTTTGAATAACTGCAGATCTTTAGTGAAAAATACAGAAAAATATCGTATTTTTAAAAATAATAAATCAGGGGAGAAATAACCTAATTTTTACACCTCTGTTATTTTCAACCCAGAAATACCTTTATTTCTGTGTCTTGGAAAGTCAGGAAAAATCATGGAGTCGTATCCCCATCTTGTGGTATATAGAAATTGCCGCAAGGGCTATTTTAAGCCTTGTCTTTATTAATTGTGGATAGGATTTTAATTCTACCTATAGAATATAAAATATAGAATACTAGCTACAGAACATAAAATATTCTGACTTCCAGTTTCCTGATAACTCATCCTCAGTGCTAGCTCAAGAAATTGGGTATCACCAGCCTTATGGAGAATAGCAGCAAGTGCTGGTGGGACCTCCTATGATGATTTACAGCATATGTAAGAAGCAGTTGATTGGTTTTCTAATTGCTACCTCAGACTCTGTAACATACTCATGTTGACAAAAAATTTCTTTCCTTTGATGAGTTTGTGTTATTCTTGAAAAAAAAATGTGGTTCTCTAAGATGTTTAGATCTGGAGGCAGAGAATTGTATTTCTCTTCAGTAAAGGACTAAAGAAATGTTAGAAAAACCAAGAGTGGGGCCATGTACCCAGCAGAAAAGAAAGATAATGAAAGTTCAGGTGTTTAAGTAACTGGTTCTCTCTATTCTGTAGGCATAGGCATGCATGAGTATTTGGGTTTTCTTATACAGTGGAATCCGGGAGGAGTTTGTATGAACAGCAGGTGTTAGGAAACCAGCCAAGGAGCTGGTGGTGGAAGTAGCCAATTACTGAGCAAAAAGCACTGGGATCCAAGACTCCTGTATCTAATGATGAAGTCTTTTATTCAAGGAAAAAGATAGTATACTAAGTCTTATTCTTTATATAAAAACAATATTTATGAAATTCAGACATATTCTTAATGAAATGCAGACATTTTCTATTAGGTTGATATTTAGAGAAAAGGGTTTAAATTGTTTTGGGGGGATAGGATATGAATTCAAACACTATTTGTAAATTTACTGATTCTTTATCCTTGTTGTAGATTGTTTGGTCTTTAAGAGTAACCTATACAGACATATTTAAGAAATTGATGTCAGTTTGAATACTAATTTTGAGTAACTTCAAATTTCAGGTTTGCTTATGGGCAAAAACAGGGATGAATACCAATTTTTGACCAATATATATGTAATTTTTAAAAAATGTTACCATTTGAAAAAGAAATAAATATTAAAAAAAGTAATTTACAAACTGGATCATTAAAGTGGACTTGATTTTAATATTTTAGAACAAGGATTCACTTAAGTGAGTAAATTTCTGATAGAGACTGGCTTCAAGCCTTCAACCTTTTTGAAGATTATTTTTCTCATCCTCAGGTACTATAGATGAGATAATCTTTAAAGTGCCTTTCAGCAGTATAATTTATTAGTATTTAATTTTAGCAAGATGTTTCAGTAAAGGGTTACATTTGGCTGCATGTAAGAGAAAGGCTTAAGCAAGTAAGGTGTTTGGTTCTGTTTTCTCACGTAACAGGAAGTGTTAGAGGGATGCAGTCCAGGTTGGCGAAGTAGCTCCTCCAGGCTCCTGACTTGACTTTCCACTCTGCCATCCTTTAATGAATAGCTTTTGTTTGCCATGCTCACAAGATGGCTGCTTCATGTTCTTACCTGCTTCACCTTCTCTTTCAATAGAAAGAAGTAGGTGAAGGGAAAACGGCAAAGTGGAGGCCAGTCAAGTTTGTTTTCTTTCAAAGCATTTTCCAGCTTGCTGCACACAGTCTCCCCTTACATCTCATTGGTTAAAACTGCATCATATGGCCTCCTGTACTGCAAGAAAGGCGGGGAAATTTAGTGTTTTACTGAGCATAGTAGTGGGAAGAAGGGTAGAATGAGTATCTGTTATGCAGTTAGCTCTATTTGCCACACAAGGTCACTTTCAATGAGTACCATTTCTTTTTTTTTTTTTTTAAAGATTTTATTTATTTGAGACAGAGCTCACACAAGGGGGTGGGGATTGGGGGTGAGAGAGGCAGAGGGAGAGGGAGAAACAGGCTCCCCACTGAGCAGGTAGCCTGACTCTCAACTGGGGGCTCCATCCAGGACCGTGAGATCATGACCTGAGCCAAAGTCAGATGCTTAGATGACTGAGCCACCCAGGCACCCTAAGTACCATTTCATTTTAAAGTAATATGTATTCATTTAATACTATTTGGAAAATAAAAGACAAAGATAAATATTAAGTCAAATATATCTACTATTGACCTCTTTTTTTAAAGTTCTGCATGCATGTATATTAATTAAAAATTACAACCCAATAAATAAATGAACCCCAAAAAGGAATAAATAAGGATGACACTTTTAAAATATATATATAATATTAACCCTATTTCGTGGACAATTTTGTGTCCTGTACTAATCATGGACAATTAAACCAATAATTTCTTATGTTATATTTTATTCATGTATATTTTTAAGAGCTACATTACATTTCATTGCATTGGATTATTAATGTTCAATTCCTTTTCCCTATAGTTGAATATTTTAGGTTATTTGTGGTTTTAATTTTGAATAAAATAAAACCCACAGAGGATAATATGGCAAACAGTATATTCTAGTATTAGCAAATCTTTAATTTTTGTCACTTTTTGATTTCAAATGTTTTTTTTTTTTTTAAAGATTTTATTTATTTATTTGAGAGAGAGAGAGAATGAGAGAGAGCAAGCACATGAGGGGAGAGGGTCAGAGGGAGAAGCAGACTCCCTGCCGAGCAGGGAGCCCGATGCGGAACTCGATCCCGGGACTCCAGGATCATGACCTGAGCCGAAGGCAGAAGGCAGTCGCTTAACCAACTGAGCCACCTAGGCGCCCGATTTCAAATGTTTTAATGTAAACAATCTATAGAGTTGAGGACCCTTTCATTCCCTTTGTGTGTCTTTCCCTTTATAGGCAAGTATGATCATGGATTTGGTATATACCATTCTAATTTATTTTTAAATACCTTTTTCCAGATATTGTGTCTAAAAATGCATGTAAACATATATTGTACACATCATCCTTTTTTTATTTGTCCATGTTAATGCACAAAGATCTGGTAAATTTTATTTGCTATGTAGTATCCTACTATACATATATAGTATAATAACACATATCTTAATTTATTTATTCCCCTATTTATGTACATTGAGGATTTTTCAAAATCTCACTGTGACAAACATTGCCACAGGGAACATACTTATCCATGTCTCCTGATACAAAGTGTTCCTCCAGAATTGGCTAATTTTTCTGTAGAGGGCTAGATAGTTAATGCTTTCAACTTTGCAGGCCATTTGATCTCTGCTACAACTATTTGGTGCTGCCATTGTAGTGTGAAAGGAGCCATAGACAATACCTGAATGATGAATAGGTAGGGTTGTATTCTAACAAATCTTGGCTTACAAAAACAGCCTGTGGCTGGATTTGGTCTTCAGGCTATAGTTTGCTGGCCCTAGCTTTAAGGCAGTGGTCCTTAAACTTTGGTAGGTAACAGAATCATGCAGGGAACTTCATAAAAATACAAAGGCCAGTCAAAAATCCTTCAACCAGCTTGCCACTTCTGAGTTCTTTATTAACTTTCCAGATAATTCAGATATACACCAGAGTTTGAGAACCACTGCTGTAGTGCACATAGAGTGAAGTATTTATATCATGGGATTTGCACATTTTCAAATAATGATAAAATCCCTCTGGATCAATCAAAAGACACCTCAGGTCTGCAGTTAGTTCTGTAGGTCTGTAATAAATAAAAGCGGTGATAGGAGATAAGACTGGAAATATAAGCAGAGCCTCGATAACAAAGGATTTTGTATGCACGTGAACATTTTTATATGTGGTGGGAAGCTTTTGAAGTATTTAATATACAGTTTAAAAGCCTTCCCTCCCCCCCAT